CTGCCATATATTCTATGTTGTTACCGCCGAGGATCGTAGTGGAGGATTTGATAACTGTATATAACAATTTCAAAGCTTTCATACGGTAACGAAAATGCAATGGTACAATGTTCAATAATTTTAGGGCCATTGTTCGTGAAAAGTGATTGTAGCTACGCCATATGAAGTGGATGGCTTTACGTTGGACACCGTCAAGCATATTTAGGTCGCATTGTTTGTAAGGGTACAAAACTACAAATGCGTATTTTAGGAGAGGGCGAATCAACGCTTTATACTTGAGTAATTAGATATCGCGGGAGAGTTTAGTCAAAGTACGGCAAAAATGACCTGAATATTTTGGAGCTTGTGGATAGCAAGGAAGATTTTTGTTAGAATCACACAAAGATTACTATATTGTGACACTTTTTAAGTTGTGTACCATCTAGATGATAATTGAACGTAAAACGGGTTCTGTCTATTGGTAAATGAAATGACTGTTTTAAGCGATTGACATTGGCCATCCATTTGTCGCTGCTTGTGGCTCCTGTGAAACGCTTTAGAATTTCACAGTACACTGCCCGCATTCGCTACGCAGCGGGCTTTGCTGGTTAAGGAATATGAGTTCTTGGGGCTTAAGTGCACGACCCTAGATATAACAACCTCTTTCGAGAGGTTATTTTCCGAATCGACCAGGCCCATCGAGCTATATTTGCTTATGTAGACCAACACAGCTGGCCACCTGTTCAGTGACTTTCTTCTTGTTTACTTATACTTGTCTAAGTCTTCGTCAGTATTTCTCTACTTCCATCTATTCTTTCCTCTTTCTTCATTGGTATCTTTTTTCCTCTGTTTGTTCCTCCCGAAAGAGTGAGCAGGCGTTGTGTCCCTCCAGGTGGCAGTTGCCAGCTTGCTCTTTCCTTTTTTTTTCTGTGTCCTTGTGTATCGATGTATGCAAATCAAATAAACAATCTGCCATGTTTCGCACCAAGCGCTCAATGAAATGAGTGATTGTGAAAGACGGTAATTATCTTTCGCGGAAAAAATCGATTCGTACAATGTGGACTTGTCCGCGTAAAGTCATATTTTACAAAAAGTGCGGGGAAGTAAATCGTTCACATATATGAAGAACAACAATGAGCCCACTACAGACCCCTGCGGAATGCCTGACGTGACGTCAACAAAGAATGACTCTGGTGAACTGAAAGAAACAAATTATCAACGATAATGAAGGAAACTGGTGATCAAAGAACAACACAGGCAATAATAATTATGGAATCAAGATTCACTAGGAACATAAAGTGAAATACAGATTCAAAAGCTTTACAAAGGTCAATAAAATTAGCATTTATTTGATTTCCTGTATTAAGGCTAGAGGAAATGTCATGAACAAAGGCAACTGATTGTGTAACAGTGCTGTAGCGACGATAGAAACCTCACTTATCTGAAGTTAAATCTTTTTGGAGCCGAGCATTTCTATGATATAATAATAATAATAATAATAATAATAATGACTTTATTTCGCATCAAGGATACATGATGTAGGACACCTGCAGAAAAAGCTGGCGTGATGCCAGCTTGACAAGGCCGCAGGTCTCCCTTCCCCCTCCCCGAATGCTTGTGAATATGCTTGTGAATAGTGTGCTCTAACATCTTGTTTGATTGTAGTGCACGAGATTTTGGCTTGTAGCTACATAAGAGTTGACTTTCACCAGATTTGTACGAAGGGTATACTTTCGCTGTTTTGCATGAAGATGGTACTTCACTGAAGTTTAGAGATTTCAGGAAGATCACTCAAAAGAAACGGGCTTGTGAAGAATGCTTATCAAAATGCAAATATTACGCATATTTGAAGGGCAACATCAACACGTAAGTGTTAGGCAGCGTGTTTCAATTAAGAAAAAAATGCAGAAATATATGTTTCTAAAAACCAAAATGCTTACTACACTGCGTTCACAATGCGAAATAGTTAACAAAAAAGTGGATGTTTCTACTCCTCGCTCTAATATTCAGAAGCTTCAACTCAAAGGACGCGTGCTGCCACCTACAAGTGGCTCATGAAAAGTTTCGTTTTTGCTCGTTACTGCTAGATAGTGCCATACCTCACGCTGCACCTCCAGACTGAAGGTTATGGTCTTTCAACGTCCCTTGCAGTAAAACACGAATATACGCGCGCAGTGCTTTCTCGGATATAATTCCAATGAATGGCGCGGCTTTCGAATAGAACAACTGTTGTCACGCAGAAAGCGTGGGTTCAGTTCACCGTTGATCCGAACATTTAGGCGAAGCTCCTTAGGATAGGGGTAGTCCACGTCCCTGTCATAGTGTGTTGTAGTATTCACTTCTAGTTAGTTTTGAGAACCGCTCACTAGACGTTGGTCTGTGTCTATGTCCTTAGAAGTATTATCAATAGAGGGCGTTAGTGGTTTTAGTACAGTTGAGGAATAAAGAGCATAGATGGCGCTGTTACAGCCGAGGTGAATCACTTAGAAAATTATCTGGAGCAGTAGGTACTATGCATCGCCATTGCAGTTGTCCTACATACATTATCATAACACAATGTTCCTTACTTTCGCTCAATACGGTTTTCTACCCTGGGCGACCACTATAGTTAAAATACTCACCGACTCGTAGAAGTAAAAGAAAAAGCTATACGCCTTGTTTCCAAAGTGCCATATCTTTGCCATATTGCTCCTTTGTTGACAAAGCTTGGTACGATAAAAATTGAATGTTTGTACAAATATAGGCTTTGTCACATGTATACACGGGCAAAATAAAGAATCGTAGCTCTTTTATACAAGTGACATCCTTATAGCAACATGACTGCTTTTATAAGTTTTGTCTTATAGAACCTTGTATTGTCAACGAAAACAAAATTGTATACGGTGACCAAATGCTGCAGTTTTGTTGACCGACTATTTTAAATCGCTTACACAAAGAAAATAGTCTCAATGTATACACTCAGTCACTAAAAAGCCTACGTGACATCTTTCTAAAATTTCATGTGTTGCGATCGCCCTTCTTCAGCTGCGGTCCCCCTTCTGCGGTTTCCCTTCAGCTGCAACGATCGCCGAAAAGTAGAAGATTTCACAGAATGATGAATTGAAATATGTCCTGGTGGTGAATGAATCCTTGCTGCACTGCGAACTGCGAAGCAAAGACTAAACTGACAATACAGGCAGTGCGCAGTCACATGGCCGTAAAGAAGAGTTATAAGTTGGGCGAGGCGATTTGTTTTTCTATCGTGGTTAATTAATGGGTCATATACGTTAATTGCAGGTTCAACTGCACGTGGGTCAGTACGTTGAAGAATGTTGAAATATGCAGGATCTGTCTCAAAAGTTCCCAGAATATTTATTTTATAAAATATGCATTAAATATAAATTTACAATCTTCTCAGAACTCTAGGAAGTACTCCCCTTGTTTATTGCATCACTGCCAATGCTTCACCCATTCACTGAAGGCGCCCTGGAAGCCGACGAAAACCTCCTTCATCGAAGTCCTCAAGTACTTTTGTAACATCTTTAGTGTCCCATGCAGAGTTCTTTTCAGGGTTTATGTAACCCTTGGACGAAAAGATGCCCGATAGTACCATATCGAAACAGTACAGTCGTTGGCGCAGTGCAGTGCTTCGACCCCATATTTAACACCAGAGCAATACAGGGCTACTTTCGCAGATGTTGCCATGACCGTCTGGGTGTCTTTTGTCGTGATCGAAAAACCACCATATGGTCTCTGACTGGAAAGTCGAGAAATATGCAAATAAAGCAGTAAAATATTCAGGGTCCGAGTGAAGATAGAACCCAAGCCGTACGCGTGTCAAGCAGGTCTTTTAACACACAGCTACACTTCTAATTAAAAACACAGTAAAAAACTGTCTCTGTTTGGAATTGTAGTGAAAGTAACATGCATGCTTTGCAAACACACGTGTCTTGTACTATGCATCCTATCTCGCCGTAATAGTTCATGGTGGTACATGCGTACATCGCCGTCTGGCGTCGAAACATGTGATTTACTTGCCGAATTTCAGGTTTGAAGCGTGCTACCCACTACAAAAGTTACACACGTTACTGTGCCTATTAAACTATGTAGTGTGTGCAAAACAATATCGAAGAACACTGCTGGCGGTTTAAAGCACGCTACCCATTGCAGAGAATGCAGTCTTATGCGAAGCTTGACTGACACAAGCCACATTTTTCTTTATCGATGACATTGTAGTAATCTGAAATTTAGACTTGTCGAGCAAAATCCATCTATAAAAGACATGTACTTATTGGCAGAAGTACGAGAAATGATACTTCTATCAGGTGCAACACTTGCAGGCAGATGCTAAAGATGTCCCAATTTTGTGCCAGGAGAAAATCAGCGTGGTGGGACTTCTTTTTCTTCTCACTCACATTTCCGAAGAGACTTTCCTCAGCAGATCTTTTGTCGGTACACGAAGAGCGATGGCATTGAAACTCTTGGTCCATAATTCCGTTACTTGATCACCGTTAGCTAAGCAATACTTCACCCAGTTTCCGAACGGAGTCATCTACTGGTGATTTAGATGCGTGTTCAGACAAGTGGTCATCGTTGACCGGCTCAGAACTTTTTCAGAAACCCAGGTTCTGCCTAACACTATATCTTTCTTTTGTCTGGACGTCACCATGTGCTATTTGAAGAGTTTAGAGCGTCTTTGCTCTGTTTTTATTCTGGTTTCACACAAAACGTGTTTGCATGACACCACTCCACAAAAAATGTACAGTTTTTCTCAATGAGGGTGCAGTAAGTCTGCCAAATAATTACAACCGCCAGAAAAAGTGCCTGCAGGCAACCCAAATTGGACTCTTTTTGCAGCTTATATCTCCCACAAACTGACCCCGCCGAGCGCTGCTGTCGAATATTGAAAAATATTTCGGGGACTTTTCCGGCAGACTCTATAGGTCCTTATTCACGTAAATGTTTATTTATTCAAATGCCCGCCTCAGTTATGCCCTGCCCACCTTCTCCTTTTCAACAATGATTATCTTTCGTTTACTCACCTGTCCACAGGCTCTCCTTCGTGATTTCCCAGCGCTGGGTAGACTGGAATACCTGGAAGGTACTTCTCGATAGTCTTCATGGTGTACTCCATGATGCCCAAGTTGGCCAATCGTGACGTGTTCCATATGTGATGGGCCACCATGTCACCCGTCCAGATTACATAGTCAATCTGCATGCAAAGAGTACCAATCTTGAGACGCTGTAGCACATGCGACAATCATGGAGATGGGTAACTCTGAACAACGGTGCTGCTACACGTGCAGTTTTTGCCAAAGCTCTAGTATAGCATCTGTAGCGCAGTAATTCATTGTTGTTGTGGTGTACTAAAGGACGACTTATAGTTTGTGCAATTTCTTGTTTTTTGTACATATGGCAGCCCCGTGATCTGCTTACTTAGGGCGAAATCTTTCATTTCTCTTGAGACATGCGCCTCTATTAGGAAACATGCATCAAAAAGTTTCAGCAAAGACATGCCGCAGATCTCGGGAGTGCTTGTGAAGAATGCCAATGAGACACTTATGAATCGGCGTCGGTGCAGCAAACAACATATTTCACACAAATGAACTCCAAATAAAACGAAAGGATGCATGTCGCATTAGCCAAAAGAACACTTTGGCGAAGCTCACTCCCCAACAGCAACTATAGTATAACTGCTTCAGCTTCTTTGGTGAATCCATACTTAGTGTACTAGACACTCTACCATAGTGAAGCATCCTTGCTTTTGTCGCGTCAACTCGGCATTAGAGAGCTCTTGAAGAGTTTGTAAAATGCTCTAGCGGCCTCTAAGTCGACCGTCGTATTTGTGTTACGTCGCGCACGCTTTCGGCACTCTCGAGGGGCCCCTATGGTCATCATAACGAAAGCAATACTAGATTACCTCTTGTTGCCGAGTTCACCATTGTCATAGCCTTAAATGTAGAGAAGACCTTCCAGCGCCGATCGGCTCGCACAGGTTCTCTTTCCGACGATCGATTGTGACGCAAACAATTCGATGATAATAGGCACCAGCTTGCAGTAGTGTGTCGTATGCAAAGGCAAAGACACAGACTATTAAAAGATCAGTTGATGACGAAAAATGTCAAACCTTCGTGCCTCTGTTTTGGAATCCCTGCATCGTTTCCTCCTAACGTGCAGGTTATTTAAAATTCAAGGAGATTGTTACAAGAACCTCTCCGTAGGTTGGCTTTGAATTTATTCCTTCCGGTGGTTTATTCCTTCCGGTGCAACTGAAAAGAGATTTAGCTGGGCCACATGATATAAGCGTATGCGAAAATAAGACACTGTGTCCTCGTTTCGGGGAAACTCATTATGTTAATGACTATAAAGCAACTTTCCTCAAATTCTCGAATTGTCATGGGCCACTTGCAGCTTCGTCGAAAGAGAGCCCCAAAATGTAAAGAGAAGTAGTGGTATTGAAAGAAGCGGTTCGAGACAATTTCTCACAACGAGAGACGGCCAGGACCGTCAGAAAGAGGCGTCATCGTCACCGTAGTTCCCCAAAGAATGCTGCAGACTTTGCATCGACAGCACCGCTCCACCACCTTTCTCTTATACCGCCTTTGCCTCCCAGACAAAAGGCGACCAGCGCGACTAAAAAACCGACAAACAGCAGTATTGCAGTTGAATCAGTTTTGCCTTCCTTGTCGAAATCACAGCCACCTGCGAATTTCAAGTTCACATTGACAATCGCATCCCTCCAGCCAGCCGCTGACAAGCTGCCTCAGGAGAATGTAGAAGTCACCAGAATGTACCGAACACTGTTGGATGCCAAGCGAAAGCTGTGCACCAATCTGAAATCTCCACTCGCTCTGAGTGCACTACAAGTATTGGATGTTCTGAGGCACGTATTTACTTGTTTCCAGTAGCAACCATGCCTCGACCAATACTGCACTTCCGCAACGATGTCTGACATGCGTCAATACTGCAGTAGAACGCAACAGGCCTCAGACTCATCATCTCAATATTCCGTCAGTACATATTCATGAATCGTATTCCTGTATTTGTTATACGTGAAGAAAACGTGAAAAAACCTCTCAGACTATCAGGGTATGAACCGCAGGGCGCGGGTTTGAATCCTGGCTGCGGCGGCTGCATTTCCGATGGAGGCGGAAATGTAGGCCCGTGTGCTCAGATTTGGGTGCACAATAAAGAACCCCAGGTGGTCTCAATTTCCGGAGCCCTCCCCTACGGCGTCTCTCATAATCATATAGTGGTTTTGGGACGTTAAACCCCACATATCAATCAATCAATTATCAGGGTATGAACCTTTCGTTTCTTCAAGAGAATTTCCCCTGGCGTGTGTCATGAACTGTTGGAAGTACTTACTTAAACAGCAGCGCTCACCCGAATAAGACACAAACACAAAACACCAAAAGGACAACACAACCGCTGTTGGAAGTAATAGCATAAATGAGTCGTTTGGTGAGAATAAAGAAAATCAGAGCATACCCACGGAGTGAATGACAATTAGTGGGGCGAAGTATACGCTAATGTGTCTGTTCATCTGTCCATCTATCCATCTGTCTGTCCATCCGTTTGTATATCCGTGCCCGGTCAAAAACACAAAGCGTCGCTGTCAGTCAGATAGAATGGTTATTGGCTCAATAAAAATAGCTATGCATTTGCAAATGAAAGTCCCCTGCCTGATAATCTGTCCGATAAAGGTCTATTTGTCGAACCCGCAAGAGGGTTTGCACCCAATGAAATAACGTCTCTGTGCTTGGTTTCTGACTCTCGAGGCCGACAAAGTTTCCTTTGGCAACTTTGTCGGTCTCATTCTTAATTCCACATGGCCGACACCGATAACTTCGCTGTTCACATCGAAGCTTTTCAATGCGTAGCTCTCAGACACCGATAACGTGGCAGACAGTGACCTAGAGGGTGTAGGAAATGGCACCCGCTATGAGACGGGTCCGTGTGGTCATCTCGTACACGTGCGTTCATCAAGGCTTCAGTGAACCTGAAACAGGATGTATTCGATACATCAATTGCTGATAAAGGATTGCTGCAAGCTTAAACATGCAGTGCTTTCCTTCAGGGTGGTGAAGGTTCGTCGCAGATGGAACAGACTCTCCACTCTCCATCGTGCGTACGCCTGAGAATACTGAGCGATTGATGAACTTTTTCATGGCGCATGCGTGACCCGTCTCTCTTTTCACGCTCGAGCATGTTTCTGCTTCAACGCATCTAGAAGAGTGACACTACGTGGTCACTGCGCACATGCACACCAAATTACATGGCGTGCTGGGGTCAGTCGCCCAGGTCGTGCAATGACATCCGAGACCCCGATTGCGGCTGTATAGAGCAAAAGCTCTGAAGTGAGGTGCGGCAACTCGCAAAATTTGTAAACAATACTATTTACACACAAAAAGGTATACTTATGTTTAACCGAAATCTAGATGTCATGTGATTAGCATAGCAGGCATTTTTTCACGCAGCCTGATATTTTTATGTGCTGTACAGCTGCAGCACTGTTCCTTTCGCGCACCACCCTTCCTTTCGTTTTTGCACAGTCCCCGGCCCAGTTAGGTCCTTGAGCTGACTCCTCCTCTGCGCAATAAGGTCACTTTTTTTAGTACACACATTTTGAGTGGTTGGCCATAACACAAAGAAAATCATTTCCAATCACCTCTCTACAAATGATACAGTCTGTCAGAACAGAGTGGGAAGGCCGATTCTTCAATACGGTACCACTGTGAACCATATGATTTGTGGTGTACCGAAGAATGGTCCAATCATTTGAGATCGAGCAGTCTCGCTTCAGTCCTCACTAACATAGTTTCTTGAAATACGTTATGCACTCTTGTACTATTGTCTCATAAAATTTCAGCAGCTGCTTGACGGCCTCCTAGAAATTGGAAGGTCTAAAAGCAATGCCTGACCACTAGTCTAGGCCAACCATGAACTTACCACCCATTCTCCCCAACTATAGGCTCACATATAATATGTTCTCGTACATTACCATCTCAGCCACTGAAGTTTCTGGACTTCATTTCGTTTTCGCAGACCAGTATTGTTTTATTAGTAAAATTGGTTTATAAAATCGGTTAACAAATTTCGTCCTTGTTCACCACATTGTCATCATAAATGAGTACGCATCACAAAAAATGTGGGTATTCTACGAATTGCCACTAGTCCACTGAAAATGAAGGAGGTGAGTTAGCTTAACAAACAGGCATGTGCCACGAAAATTTTTGCAGCGTTTTGGAAAACAATCAACGTCATAAACAGGTATGTGTATTCGTGGAAGAGATATCTGAGACAATCGTGCCACCTACTTGAAACTACCAACCAATCACATATGTGTGTTATTCGTTGTCGCAATGCCATAAAAAGGTACTTAGTGGTAATAAAAGCTAGTGTACAGCTTGCACCTGACAATGGGCAGCGTTAGAACCTCCAAACAATAATCACACTCTCGAGGAAGCAGCTGCGATGTGAGAAACGATGCTTGCTGCTGCATAAGATTGGTATTTATGGCATCGATTGAATACGCCAAGGTGAAACCAAGTTCCGGCAAAAGTTCAACATTGCTACGCCCAAAGTCAAGCTAAGTTCAAGAAAAAGTTCAATTTTGCCACAACCAAGTTCAACCAACAGTTCATCATTACAGCTAGCCAAATAAAGCAAAGTTCAAGCCTAAGTTCAACATTCTACTATGTTGGCGAGATAATGCTACAGCTAAGTTCAAAACCAGTTCACACACAAGGTCAGTCTAGATACAGCCGTTGGTTTGGAAAAGGTTCCTCAAAGGAAGGAGGCAAAGATTTGCCGCAGTGCTGCCCTGCTGCCCTTCCTTATTAAATCAGTGCATGAGACCGACTGTGCCCCCCCCCCCTCTTTTTCGTGAAAAAGGGGTGTGCCCTCCCTGCCCACTCCCCCCATGCTCACGCCTGTGAATACGGCAATTAATAAACATCAGACTAATCAGTTTACCTGTCTATCACTTACTCATGGCTCAGTGCAAAGTTCAATTTTTTATTCATTTACTTTTGAAGCTCAACTTCCTTCCGTCACAATTTATAGATTGACTTTTTCATGACTGACTATTTTTCTTGATTAGCAGAAAGAGTTTCATAAAGTATATCACAAACTGCTTCTCTTTAAATTAAGCAAATGAGATATAGACCTTCGTCTTCTCTTATGGCTTACGCAGTCTGTTGCACGCAA